GGAGACGGAGAGGGAGACGGAGAGGGAGACGGAGAGGGAGACGGAGAGGGAGAGGGAGAGGGAGACGGAGACGGAGACGGAGAGGGAGACGGAGAGGGAGACGGAGAGGGAGACGGAGAGGGAGACGAATCTGTTTGTAGAATCAATGATATTTGTAAGCAGCAGGAAAGCTGGCAGCGAAGTTCTCAGTATTTTTGCAGCATTTTAACGAAGTTGAGGCAGTGGTATAACAGATTATGCATCCTTCTGTGGAGCAGCTGTCTCCTGTACACATGACACACAAGCACCCTTTCCTTAAATCAGTGTCACCTTTTACATATTACGGACTATCCTTAATTTGAATTCTAAAACCTAATTATAAATCTGGAAGGAATGCAAAACTATGATGAGGAACAATAGTTCATTTGAACGAGATTAAGATTATAATTTAGATTAAACAACTTAGTGCCTCTCTTGCTGCCTCCATAATAGCATTCTATATAGAGAGTTAGGGATAGCCTTACAAATAGAACAAAAGTTAAATTTCTTCAGATCTGCATTTTTCTAACAAATATGAATCATTTGATACTCCATTAGAATTGTAACCCTTGGATTGTACACTAATTCACAGCAATCCTTCCGGATTCAGATGTGAGGGAATGAGTTATAGATGCAAACAATCGAGAATTGACAAAGTGGAATTCCAGCTATTGGGAAAACACCTTTTCAAATTCTCATCCAATGAAAACCCTTGATCAAATGTCAAAACTGGAAATTTCAAGACAAAGGGAACAAAGATGATAGGCTAAACATACATGTATTTTAAAGAAATAAGTTTAGTTAATATAGAATACATCAAATAGAAAGAAAATTTGAGATTAGAAAAAGTTAGAATAAAAAAGTCACAGAATAAAGGCAGCAGGATAGAGTGACCTGAAGGATTCAACAGATTTCATTTTTACTTTGCAATTTTACAAATAACATTACACAGTCATTAATATATACCTCACGTACAGACTGGCAGTGTTTTGGGACCGCCTCTAGTTTAGATTAAAACGAAGACAGTTAGGTGACCTGCGCAGAGGTCTGACAGCAGGCCTAGGTTATACAGCATTTCAAAATTTAAAGGAAGGCTCAGTTTGCTGAGAAGGTTTGACATGTTTATACTTGGAGACAATAGTAGCAACATCTGTGCTTACAATGGCTAAACAGCTGATCTCTGAAGTCTCAAGGAGCTATTAAAAATTCCAATCTGTAAACTGTTCCCCTTTAAACATTCCATTTATTTTCAACATAGAATTGAGCTGGGATCTCAAGAGCCAATCTGCATTTCTACTTATATACAAAGCCAATGTGATCCTTGTTGCCATGGAGATGTGCTTTGAGACAGAGAGAGTACTTAGGAAACCATTAAGAGATCAGGCTGCAAGGTTTTTTTTACAAAATATTCATGAAACTCATTGAAAACTTAGCTTGACTGGATCCTGGCAAGGCCCAGAAAACAAAAGCTGTAAATCCAAACATAATTCAATTTGTTTGGGTGCATTCTGACAAACCTCCATGGCTATCACACAACTTGAGGTGGGACTTAAACCCACACCTTCTGGCCCAGAGGTGTGTATACCGCCACTGTGCCATGAGACACAATTCAATGCCCATTCTTAAAGTCATACAATCTCTGCTTAATTTGGAATTTAACTTATAAATTCCTACGTTCAAATTTATAACAGAAGCACCTCTTGAAACCTGCCTGGAATTACCTTCCCGACAGTACTGATGCTTCAGCCTCTAATGTGCCGTGTTCGTTTTAGGTTGACAAGTGGTTTTCATTATAAAAGTGGACGTAGAAATTTATAATGTAAAATATTGAGACCTACAAGATTTCCAATAGGATATAGAAGGAAAGGCACAGCTTTAACGTGGATTCAAGTTTGAATTTTACTCAATGAAAGGTTAAAACCTGAAATGTTAGCTAAGCTTCTGTTTCCACTGACATGCCAGTACTGTTGAGTATGTCCCTCATTCCCTGTTTTAAGTTTCCCAGTATCTGTAGTATCTTCTTTCTCTTTTAACGTTACTCTGGGCAGTGGGTTGACTACATGGCTGGTTTGCAATGTAATGTAATGCCAGCAGCATAGGTTCAATTACTGCAATGGCTAAGGTTACCGAGAAGGACTCTCCTTTAGCCTCTCCTCTCACCTGAGACATGGCGAGTGACCATCAGGTTAAAGCACCACTAGTCTCTCTCTCTCTCTCGCTCTCTAATGAGAGAGGGCAGTCCTATGGTCAACTAAGACTGTGGTGACTTTATCTTTACCCTTCTGGGCTGGACAAAGGGATGCAAACCAGCTTCTTTGTCACAATCATGTTTTTCTGAATAACTGCAAAGTAGAGCTGATGCATCCACAGAACTAGAAGCATGTGTGACAATCTCAGAATTTGGACCACTGGAGGGGGCATCTAATCCATGACAAAACACTTTATGGATCAAACATTTTTATCCATCTCAGTGGAAAACTTTCCATTGCAGATGCATTAACATTAATCAGACCAAAGGTTAGCTATAGCAGGTTAATAACAAGTAAATGTTCATTCATTGAGTCACAGTAATATACCAGAGCCCAACATTAATTAGAGTACTGTCTAACCTACCAGCATGAGACTTCTCCATCTCTCATACCAGCAGTCTTCCATTCACAGACTAAATTTAGTGCTAGTTTGCTCAATGTCTGTACTATTTAGCAACACTCACTAGGAACTGGTAGCAAGTAGGTATGAAGGAAGATAATCCGATCTGAACTGGAGATTCAGTAGTTATAAACCATTGTCATTCCCACTGATACAGCAAGCAAATAGACAAGCAATAATCAATGAAAAAGTGATGAACTGAAACAATCAGGTTGAGAATAACTAAGTGTATTTTTAATTGTTTTGTTGAAAGTCAAAGAGAGAAGACAAATGTACCATCACCATAATGATATTCAACAACATCTCCATCACCACTGCGCAAAAGTGCAAATAAAACAAGAATAATAACAGAAAACTCATACATTGTCATTTTGGATTGTGGTCCATCAGATCTGGAAATAGAACACACTTTAGTTAGACTCTGCTAGGCACATAAACCTCACACCTTCCCACAAGCAGACAGCTTGGGGTAATTCTGTACATGCATTTTATTGGAGTTCAATTAATTTTGTTTTTTCAGATTAAAATTAATCATGAAATTCATGCAAAATTCTGATTAAAATCTGAATAAAATCATCTTGATTTATTAATTGAGAAATTCTTTGAATCTGTATGGAGGAATTCTCGATTTAAAATGCAGAGAGCGATTTACTAAATGTGCAAAATAGAAATGCAGGTTACATATCCATACTTAGCAGCAACTGCGACTGGGCGGATTTGTTTAACTTCAACACTGTGAAAGAAAAGACATTTATTATTACACTTCTAGCACAAACAGCAAGATGAATTGGGGGACAAAAACAATGGAAGGGGTTTTAAAACACTTTTAAACTCCTACCTCTTAATTCCTGTGTCCATTGGCGATTCATCATAGATGAGCTCAGACTCACTTCGTGCAATCCTCATGGCAAGTTCCCGGTCACGTCGCTCTTGTTCGAGTAGAGACTGCTTACGAGCTTCTTCCTCACGCTCTGCAGCGAGCTGAGCCTCCAAAGCAGCCTGCAAAGCACAAGAGTTATTCATCAGAATATTTAAATTGAGCCAACTAGCTGGGTGGCTCTTTATAGTGGTGAAGTTATTCAGTATCATTACTAACAAGAAACCGATAAAACAAAAATGGGAATTATCTCCTGAACAGGTAGTTTGAAGAGTTTAAAATGACAAAGATAGGTCACCAGAATCCGTAAAAGTCTAAAACTCATTTCACTTATTTCAAACCAACAACTGACTAAATCCAGAAATCAGGTTGTTCCAGTAGCATTAGAACTAAAGGTATGAGAAAGTTGGCAGTGTTTTTTGAATATCTAGCAAAAATCAGGGTTACACCAAAGAAGTGGGCAAGGTAGCACGGGGTGAAAATCTTTCTGGGGATAACCGAAGTGGAAGCAAGAAAGTGGTTGACCAAATCAATATCAACACAGATGTCATGGGAATAAAGTCAAAGGCTTGGTAGTTATCAGGATGGAAAGTGGCGCTGGCGAGTGAGTGAAAGATAGCTTTTCTCTTAGCTTATTCAAAATAGGCCATAAGAACAATTCTTTTGAGGTTTAAACCAAACTGAAAAGGAAAATAAGCTTAGCTAAAGTTCAGGGAAATCCATTTAGTTCCACGAGAAAACTCCTGCAGTATTGATTGTTGCTAGATAATCAGATTACTTATATGACATCCTGCAGGATGAGCCGAAGTTTTGTCAAGTTAAACATTGGATAGACTGAAATCATAGTTTTTTTTTTATAAAATCCTGGTTCCAGATTCAGCTTCCTTGCTGTCAAGGACACCTCTCCCGGGCAACAGTCTAAGAAAAATGGTATTACATTCTATCCCAAGAGAAGTTCTATGCCTTATTCCTGTTCAATTACCAAGATAATCTTTTACCATCTCCAAACACTGCCTGACTTTGCCCATATCCTAGGTCATTTGCTGTTCAAACTGTCATTCACATCTGTTACCAATAATCTTGACTATCTCAAGGATCTCTTGGATGGCATACTACATTCTACTTTCCGTCAACATCCGACAAAAACCAAAAATCTGTAGCCCATGTCCTTACTCACACCAAATTCTATACCTCTGAACCCAATGCTTACTGACCGATTTTGGCTTACGGTCATGTATTTAATCAGTTTTAAAATTCACTTTTTGTTTTCAAATCCCTCCAAGGCCTTGCTTTTCTTTTTCTCTATAGTCTCCACCAGCCCTCAAGCCTTCTGATATCTGAACTCTATAAATTCAGGTTTCTTAAGCATCTCAGATTTCAATCACTCTGCTGTTTCAGCTGCTTAGGCCGTATGCTTTGGAATTTTCTATCTGAACCCCCCTCTCCTTAAGTGGTTTGGTATCCAGTTTTGACTCATCATACTCTTGTGAAATGTTTTGGGATGTTTTGTCATGCTGAAAGAGCTATACCATTTGTTTCTGTAAATCTGTCAATTCTGCAATACAAAGCCTATATGTAGAAGGAGACAATGCAACTTTATAAGCAGACAATGCAACTTTATAAGCATTTGTGGGATAAATTAGGACAGAGAAGGCACACCATGTGAAGCAGGAGGCATTAGTAATTATAAGGACTTAAGCATACCACAGATGTCATAGCCAATCCATCAAGGAGATTAAGCCGGATCAATACAACAGAACATTCCACTTGAACCCAACCTCTTCTTTTTTTTAAAATTCATTCATGGGATGAGGGCGGCATTTATTGCCCAAGGGGCAGTTAAGAGTCAAGCACATTGCTGTGGGTCTGGAGTCGTTTGTAGGCCAGACCAGGTAAGATGACAGTTTGCTTCCCTAAACGGACATTAGTGAACCAGATGGGTTTTTCCAACAATCGACAATGGATTCATGGTTATCATTGGGTTCTCAATTCCAGATATTTTATTGAATTCAAATTCCAACATCTGCCATGGCAGGATTCGAACCCGGGTCCCCAGAACGTTATCTAGGTTTCTGGATTAACTGTCCAATGATAATACCACTAGACCATTGCCTCCCCGCTTGCGCCTTTCCCCGCTGGGAAAGGAAGGGGCAAGTCCTTTCATTAGTACCTGATTTCAGCAGTAAGCATTTGATTGTTTCATAGTAATCAAAATTGATGGGTAATGTCGTAAGTGAGATTTGACTCTGAAACTAAACTGACATTATGGTAAGTTAATCTAAGGTTGGAAGTCTGTAGTTCCCAAGGAGTTCATATAATGTTGAACTAAACTATTGTAATCCTATTACTCTTATGGATCCAAATTATTCTACTTTTCCAAAAACCATGGCATTTCCACAAGTAGGCAATGAAGAGAACACATTTCTGGTTGGCCAAGAGTTTAGCTTTCAAATTGCTGATTTGACTTCAACAAGCAGCAAATTATTTTCTCATTCGGTGGAAAATGGAATCCAAGACAAGTTTAGTCCCTTAATAACATAAAAGGTGAATTTGTTGTGCAGCGTCCATGCACAGTACAGCACCACATACATTTTCTCCTATTACTCTTTTTTTATGGACACCCTAAAAGAAAGACGACAACCCTCCTACTCAAATTACTAGCTATATTCAACTGGCTCATTCTGTACTGGAGCTTTTATCATCAGAACCTGATCTATTCAGACTATTCAGACTATTTAGACTATAGGAAATATGTCTTCGACAGTCCACATTCTCTAGCAGTCACTGCAAACAATGTTCCAAATAGCAGATTATTAGGGAAACAGAATTTTACAGTCCTGCAAAGCAGGCTGAAGAAAGAAATTTAATTTGTGTGTTCATGCCTTGAAGCCACAAAACTTAAACAATAATTGTACAGGAAAGAATTTAATGGGATTCTATGCCGTAAAGATACCATTCACTTTCTCCAATAGCCTGAAGTAACATAGAACATAACAGCGCAGTACAGGCCCTTCGGCCCTCGATGTTGCGCCGACCTGTGAAACCAATCTGAAGCCCATCTAATCTACACTATTCCATTATCATCCATATGTTTATCCAATGACCATTTAACTGCCCTTAAAATAATTCACGGATCAAAATAGAAACATCAGAACCAAGAAAGAGGCCATTAAGCCCCTCCAGCCTTCTCCACCATTTTACTAGATTGTGACTTATCTGGGTCTTAAATCTATTTTTCTAGCCTCGCTCCCTACACCAGCTGCTACATCTCAGCCCTAAAACATCGATTGACTCAACTGTTGGAAGACAGAATTCACGATTACTCAGATTTGAGTGACAAAAGCCTTGTCAATTTTGTTCCTAAATGACCTGGCTGTAATTTTAATCCCATAACCATAAATTCTTTAACCCCTCCCTTCATATTTCCATCAGAGGAAATAATTTCTTTACTAATCCTACTAAATCTTTTTAACATTTTAGATACCTTGACCAACTCTTTCCTCAAAACTTCTAAAATTAAGCTTCAATCTCTATACTCATTAGTCATGTGCAGCTTGAACATTGCTGACAATATCCATGGGTAAATATTAGAACCAGTGCTTGATTTCATTGAGTCTCCAGATCAACTTCCTAAAGTCTTTCTGGTGACCTGATGATTAGAAACAAAAATATGCAACAATTACTAATTTTCACATCTTAAAGTAAAATTCAAACCTGCATAGAACGTTTTACTTCCTCTTCTTTCTTCCTCTCCACCTCCTCCATTTTTCTCTTCAACTCCATTTCAGCTTTCCTAGTGAAAACAGAACAGGAAGGCGATTAAGTCAAGTGTTTCAACACAATACGAGGAGCCACTGAGAGAACACAATGGAAGTACCATCATGGTATATAAAAACAACATGACACACTGCTGGGAATAAGTATTGTTGATGAACTTCACACAAGCGGGCATCTCACAATAAAGCCAGTTGCAGAATTTTTGCTTGTTTCACTTTTTATAAGAAATGTCCTCCATATATCAACTGGATTTTAAAAAAAAAATCACTGAATAGATCAGTGTTCATGCAATCAAATGGTCATACACCCATCTAATGATGCAATGAAGCCACTGTTAGATTTTCCTCAAACCTTATCCATGTAAGGAAATATATCCTATAATTATTGGTGTATCCAGTGCTAACTTAAAATAAGCTCTTCCTCGAATGAACCTCAGATATCTGAGTAAGAGAGACTGCAAATCTGCACTGAATGCCTCACTTATCCATAAGTCTGATTTTTACAGTATTCAGGTTGCTGATGGGTTAGACTATCGTTGTTGAAAGCCCCACCCATGCCCTATGTTGCCAATGATCAGAAACTCAACTGGACCAACCATATAGATAACAGCCCAGATCCTTCTGATAGGAAATTAGTTGTTGCAGCAGCACTAACTGGAGTTGCATGTTGGAATAGGGAACTTACAATGCAATTGCATCCCTGGGAGTAGCACTGGAAGTTGAAACACCCTATAAGTGGTTAACTGACTTCTGGACCCTCTGAAAGAGTCCCAACTCAGTTACAGTGGGAGACGTCAGAGCATTCTTAATTAGTTAACATAATAGTTAGCCAGGAAATTTAGATGACTTAGAAAATCCTGCTGCATCTCCTTACTATTAGGCTGAGCACCTTAACCTGACCGAACTCCTGACACCCTCGAGGTACCCCATTCCCCAAGACTTGACTCTCTTCTCCTCCTCTACAACCCTCACCACCCAAGGATTCAAACACCTTAGATCAACCTGCCTTAACGTCTCCAACTGCAGCCTACCCAGACAATCCTGACCATTCTTACATTGACCTCTGCCTCAACTCCAATGACCCATCTTTAATCCCAAACCATCCAGCACCATCTTACATACTTACCCCTTCTCTCAGACACTGTGGAAGTGGCTTCAGGACTTTGAAATCCTGGAATAAGTCCAGAACTATCATAAAACGGGAGTAGTTAGATAGACGTGAAGTTGATCAATTTTGAAACCACTCCATGGGCTCCTTGGGTAAGCTAGTCTGCTTCAGCTGAGAAAGCTCCTGGTCCCTAAGGTTACATGGGACTCCTCCAGCGCCAAGTGTTGAGGACTATTGTGTCCAATTGGAGTCAAAAATAAGGCCCTGATCCTAGTTGGAAGATCTGAACCAATATAGTTACATTAGGAGGTCATTGCTTGGGAAATCCATAGAGAGTAACTCACCTCCCAACTTACCAAAGTCTGTCCATCATCTACAAGACATAAGTCAGTATTAGCGAATATTCTACTCTTGCCTGGATGAGTATAACTTCCCCGATACTTGAACATTTCAACTCCAACATCATCCAAAATAACTTCGCTAGACTAGTAATCCAGAACTCCAGGCTATGGTCTAAGGACATGGATTCAAATCTATGGCAAATGGTGAAATTTAAATAAGAATAGAGAATAAAAAGCTGGCCTGATGAAAATGTAACCACTGTTGATCATTAAAAACCCCATCTCGTTTACTAACGTTCTTTAGGGAATGAAATCTGCCATTCTTATGGGACCATCCGACATGTGACTCCAAACTCTCAATGCATTTGACTCTTAACTGCCTTCTGGGCAATTAGGAACGGCAATAGGGCTGGCCCAGCGACACACAAATGACCCTCTTTTTTAAATTTACCTGAAAAACAAGAGTGCAATTATAGGTACACTGCCATCAGCAGGTGCTCTCTGGGGCAAACACCATGTAACATGGAACTACAATCATTGTTCTCTCTGTTCCTGGATTAAAAATCTAGAATTTTCTTCCAAACAGCACTGTGCAGGACAGCAACTCAATACCAAGGCAAATAGGGTTGGGCAAAAATTCTGACATTGCCAAGAATATATATTAAAAAGAAATTAAGTGAGAGAGGTAGAACCCAAAATCTATTACAGTGTAGTGAATCAGCAAGCTACAAATACAAAAAAAGAACTGCAGATGCTGAAAAATCAGAAACAAAAACAGAAATTGCTGGGAAAACTCAGCAGGCCTGGCAGTATCTATGGACAGAAAGCAGATTAATGTTTTAGGTCCAGAGACCCTTCTTCAGAACAGAAGGGTCACTGGACCCTAAAGCTACAAATACTCCTAGATCAGGTTAAATGCAGAACAGATTGTCTCCAGCTGTTCAAAACAGAGGTTTCACTGAGCTGGGATGAATTTTACCCCTTTCCACACAAGTACCCACCCCCCCCCCTCAACCTCCTTCATGTTGTCCTGACAAGGTTGGTTTTGTTTTTTCAGAAATTCCTCAGTTTTGTTTTGTACAATGGCACGTGCACTGTTTAAAACAGAGTGGCATGTATGTAATAGTACAACACACACGCTTGCAGTCAGACTTACAGGCGACGTTCTTCCTCTTCTTGCTTGCGTCGACGCTCCTCCTCCTCACGACGTTTCTGTTCTCGCTCCATTTCCTCCTGGATGACGCGCAGTCGCTCAGCTTCCTCCTCCTCTTGTTTCTTCTTCTGCAGTGTGCTGAGAAGTTGTTCCGATCGTTTCACTAGAGCAACATACTCCTGATCAATTTGATCTCTGGTCATTGCAGTGTTCTGTGGAAAGTAAAGGGAAAGACAAATAAAAGTCATTGCATTTACTCAGATAATGTTCAGATCAGGTACCCCAGCAGTGCATTCTATTAATTCAGAGTTAGATGGTCACAAGTCTAGAGTATCCATCTTCTTAAGACCCTGACACCCTTGTCTTGCTATTCTTTAGCCATTTTCAGAGAAGTGATTTACTAAAGTTCTGTAGACCTGGAAGTGACTGGGGAAAGCAAAAAGAAGAAAAGCCTGAAGTTTTCCACAAAATACAAAAACAGATGCTGGCCAGGCTGTGGAGTGGACTGCATCCCCATCAATGCACATTATTTCAAAATAACTTGGTGGCAAGAGAAGGAAGTTTGATGTATTCCCATGATCCAATAGCCTTCCAGCTGTCACTGAGACCAGAATCACTTGGACAATGTGCAGACATACTAACAGCAGTGGAACAGCTGAGCTCAGTGAAGAAAATTAAAGGTAAGAAGCTTACAGTTGTCCACAGAGTTTTGACATTGTGGAATGGAGGAAGACAAGGCCTGCTGTAGACAAACAATGGTTTATTCAGTCCAATTTAACAATTGGATTTTTAAAGGAATTCTCAGTGAGACATTGGGGACAGCTCAAATAAATTTGTTTATATAAAGAGAGGGGAGCAGAGTTGAGGGGTAGGTCAAGAGGAATAACTGACAACACTGCCCTCATAATATTCACTCTAGATACATCCTCAGTCTGAAGCTTCGCCAGGATTACTGCACAGTACACGCTCAATCTATGTGACAAAAATATATAAACTCTGAAATGCCATTCTTTCCCTTCGGTATTGAGATTATTGAAAGAAAATTAGAACGTTTAGAAGTAGTAGGAACTGCAGATGCTGGAGAATCCGAGACAACAAGGTGTAGAGCATTTTCTGATGAAGGGTCTAGGCCCGAAACGTCAGCCTGTCTGCTCCTATGATGCTGCTTGGTCTGAGGTGTTCATCCAGCTCTACACCTTGTTGTCTTAGAACGTTTAGAAGTTCTTTTCAAGCTGATTTATTCTATCGCTCACCTTAATTTTAATCACAAGGGCATTAATTGATGAATCCAGATCCTGGACTTGTTTACTCATCTCAGCCTTGCCCTCCCTCAAGGCCTTCACCACCTCAGTCATTCTATTGACTCGCTGCTTGAGTGATTTCACCTTCACCAGGCCATCAATGCTATAAGCAAAAAGAAAACTCAATTACAATCAACAAAAATATTCCCAATTCTAGATTTAAGAGCACATTCACGAGCTCCAAAGACAGTGGAAATAAAAGAGTACTTGAATAGGAGATAGACATGAATAGAAGTATGGAAACTAAGATGTAATGAAACAGGACCCAAAGCAACAGCAATGTGCTAAGTCATTTATGTAGCTAATTTCTCACCAAGGCAAAACACATATTTTGTAAGATATAATGATAACGATTGTAACAGGACTATAAAGCACATTGGAATAACACACTGAACAAGAACAAACTAACTGTTGTCATGCTAATTGAAGACCTTTGAAGCAGCTAAAAGGCAGTGACATACTGTTATCCATGAGCTTTAAAGAAAGTCATGTTTAACTCTGCAGCTAACATGTTTTGCTTCTCTTTTCAATTCCTTCCTTTGGGCATGCCACTAAGAGGCACTGCTTATAGATTTGGTTATTGGAATAGCTTTACAAACAATTCCAGCCTAGTCTGCAGCTATGAGGAGTCCAGGGTAATTGATCAAAATTCTCAAAACTACTTAAAGTGAACTAACATCAGCAGCACTCACCGCGGTTTATATTTTCTCTTGCATAACCACATGCGGACAGTCTTCTGCATCTTAATGCAAGAAACAGCTCGGTACTTCATCTTGTTCTTCACTGTAGAAATAAATTATGTAAATAGTTTTCAACATACTCTGCATACATGAACGATTTGCAGACCCCCATCTTTGTTCTACAGGGGTGAGTTGGTATTTGTGTAGAAGGGCTGTCAGGGTGTAAACATAGGGGAAGCGGGGAGGCTGGTTGGGAAAAGGGAGGGAATGCGGAGTGAATGAAAGAGAGGGGTTGAGAAGTGAGCTGCTGACTGAGTGTGACCGTGGGTGCTGGGAAATGGGATTTCTGATTTAGTGATTACATAGAAAAACAGAAAATAGGTGCAGCAGCAGGCCATTCAGCCCTTCAAGCCTGCACCACCATTCAACACGATCATGGCCGATCATACAATCTCAGTGTCCCATTCCCGCCCTCTCCCCATACCCCTTGATCCCTTTAGCCACAAGAGCCACATCCAGCTCCCTCTTGAATATATCTAATGAACTGGCCCCAACAGCTTCCTGGGGAGAGATTTCCACAGGTTCACTATTCCAAGTGAAGAAATTCTTCCTTGTTTCAGCCCTGAATGGCTTACCCGTTATTTCTTAGACTGTGACCCCTTGTTCCGGACCCCCCAAACATCAGGAACATTCTTCCTGCATCTAGCCTGCCCAGTCCCATCAGGATTTTATATGTTTCTATGAGATCCCCCTCAGTCTTCTAAATTCTAATGAATGCAAGTCCAGTCGATCCAGTCTTTCCTCATACGCCAGTCTTGCCACCCCAGGAATCAGCCTGGTGAACCTTCCTTGGGCTCACTCAACAGCAAGAATCTCCTTCCTCAGACTAGGAGACCAAAACTGGACACAATACTGAAGGTGTGGCCTCACCAAGACCCTGTATAACTGCAGCATGACATCCTTACTCCGATACACAAATCCTCTCGTTAGGAGAGCCAGCATGCCATTAGTTTTCCTCACCGCTTGCTGTACCTGTATGCAAACCTTCATTGGCTGTTCCACTATGACACCCAGGTCTTGTTGCACCTCACCTTTTCCTAAACTACCACCATTCAGATAATAATCTGCCTTCCTGTTTTTGTGACCAAAGTGGATAATCTCTCATTTATCCACATTATATTACATTTGCCAAGTATTTGCCCACTCAGCCAATCTGCCCAAATCACCCTGCAGCCTCTTAGCATCCTCCTCACAGTACACACTGCCACCTTAGTGCCATCTGCAACTTTGGATTCAAGTCCTTCATGTATAATTATGAACAGTTGAGGCTAGATAAAAAGTAATTAAATCTAAACTGGGTACATGAAACAATTTTGGCTACCAGCAGTCTAGATGCTTCAGCAGAGAACGAGTTCTAGATAGGTCATACAGTGATCAATGCAAGTAAAAGGAAAATGTTCCAACGATACAGCAAATGATCTGTAATTCCAGGTTTCAAAAAGAGGTGCTAATCCAAGTTAGGAATGCTCAAGTATGTGCCCAAATTGCCTATGTTTCTTTACGCATCATTAATATTCCTGGTCTCCCCACAGGAATGTAAAAAAGGAACTGAAATATAATGTTTTGAAGAAAACCAGAGTAAAGTTGTTGTTGCTGAGAAATTAGTGAAATTTCCTTGATTCTAACAAACCACAAGAATTTAGATTGAGGCTCAAGTCAGACAGGTAATGGAACAAGTTCCGTAACTTCAGAGAATCATAGAATCCCTGCAGTGTGGAAGCAGGCAGTTCAGCCCATCCCGACCCTCCAAGAAGCTGCCCCCACCCTATCCTTGTAACCCTGCATTGCCCATGGCCAATCCACCTAACCTGCACACCTCTGGACGGAGAGGAAACCCACACACGGCAAGAAAATGCAAACTCCACACAGACAGACAGTCGCTCGAGGGTGGAATCGTCACTGAAAGTGGAAACACAGGTGGAAAAGATAGTCAACAAGACATATAGCATGCTTGCCTTCATCAGTCAGGGCAGGGAGTTTAAAAATTGTGGCAGGTAACTTTGCAGCTTTATAGAACCTTAGTTAGACCGCATTTGGAATAGTGTGTTCAATTCTGTGCGCCACACTACCAGAAGGACGTGGTAGCTTTGGAGAGGGTACAGAAAAGATTTGCTAGGATGTTCAGAGATAGTAAGAACTGCCGATGCTGGAGTCTGAGATAACACAGTGTGGAGCTGAAGGAACACAGCAGG